CCTCAGTGGCTGAGTCATCGAATTTGATCTTAAAGACCCAGCGCATGCCCAGGGCTGACTTCCCTGGAGGCAATGTTGCGCTCTCGAACGACATGTTCGCCTCATGTGAAGCCAATTCGAGCAGCATGGCTTCGTGCCAATGCACTTTGGCTGAAGACTTCATAGCTTGCGCATATGTTGAGGGCTCCTCAGTAGGTGCTTTGACCTTGAGTGCCGAGAGGACATGCTCTGGTGTCGAGATGGATCGAGCGCTCGATGCGTCCTCGATGTAAGACATAAGTAGTCGTGCAGTAGTCGTGCAGGGCCGTCAGGTTGACGTCGCCGTGTCCAATGTGGAAGTCTGCGATGAGACGATAACACACTCTTTGGTGTGGTCGTGGTGTCATTCGAGACCACGAGGGTCGAGGTAGAGTCTCGAGCGACTGAATTGTTGTCAGAAGGACAGTCGTGGCTGGGCCTGTGCACATGAATGTGACGTACAACCCTGAGTGCGGCGCATAGTCTGCCTTGAACTCGCCATCGTACGTGGCTAGAGTCCACACGTTGGGATCGATGGAGACAATTCAGTGTCGATCCATGTGTAGGGCTCGACCAACGGAAAAGTGGTTGAGGTGTATTTCTGGGATGTGGTATACATCCTGCAGATAGATCGCCAATGGGTCGCCGTTGGAGCCAGTGACGTAAAGTCTAACTGTGACGCGACCTACGACGTCTAATGGGTCGCCATCGGCTGCACCAGCTAGTGATGAGTAGGCTTCGTATGTGACGAACCATTCTCGTTTGAAGGTGGAGTGCTTAGAAGCACCACTGTCGACTGTCCATAGACAGGAGTCTAGTTGTTGTTGAACTATAGGACTAGTCGGTGACACACGAAGTGCCCAGCCAGTAGCTGTATATAATAGTGACCGCGATATAAATGTATCGAGCGAGTCAAAATGTGGACGAAAGTCTTTTAGTATTTTCGAAAGTATTTTTGGAATTATACTTGAAGTTTTGGTGGACTGTTAGTACCGAAAAAAAAAACGAGACATGTTTGTGTTGTTCAAGAGGTGTCGTTAATCTAGGCAATGATACCGATTGACGTTCATTTAATCTAGGTGCAGATAATCGAGGCATTGATGCCGATTTGTTGTCACGAGATGTCGTAATTTTTGGCAAAGGTGCCTGTTCATGAAGATTGAAATAACGAGTCTGGTCATGTTGACGAGAAGCGTCGCTGCGATTTACGCTACGACTACGATGGTCGTTTCCTCCGGTATTTTCACCGGGGCCACCTTGGTGGGTACCACGACTGCGGCTTCGCCGGTTATCTTGGACGGGGTACAGCTCTGGAGGAGCCAAACAATGATAATCATCATTGAAGAAATCATCGGGCCGATCGCGCGAGTGGTTGCGATCGCCGTGGTGACGAAACGGACATCGGTCACGTTGATCGCGTCGGTCCGAAGACGCGACTCTTTGTTCCAACCGCCGTGATCGTAACCACGTTGGGAGCGGACGCCATGGACGTAGCCGCCTCGGTTTTGACCGCCATGGGATAGGCCTTGTCGGAGTGCGTTAAGCAACGCACCAACATCAACTTGGTGATGGGCGGATCGACCGCCTCCACGACCGCCGCGTAGGCGATTGGTGGGTCTTTTGTCGGGGTGGGAATGCCCACTACCCTGGCCGTGTTGGTTTCGTCGACCACCGCCGTGCGGTGGGAGTTGCCCTGGTGGGATCGCCACCCATCCGGGTGGGAAGACAAAATCGCGTCGCACCGCGTTTTGGTAGAATGCACGAGAAAGCTTCGTGCAATCTATCGTGCGGTGACCTGCATGTGCGCAGTAGTCACAATAGCCGCGATCTTTGCGTGGCATGTCGCGCTGAGAGCGCCATGGACTGAGGCCGGTCGTTTGACCGTAGCCATCATAGCTCGAGAGGCGTAACGCGCTCGATCGAGTGATTTCGGGCGCTTGGCCCGAACCATGAACCGGAACGGCATGAGCCGTCGGTTTGGGACCCAAGAAATCAGGGTATTTCTGGGTCAACTCGTGCCAGTGCTGCGGCAATAGTTCCCGCAGCTGGGTGTATGGGATTCTCGGTCGAGCACCGCGCCATACTTGCACATCGTAGTGTGCAATACAATCAGACAGCGCGGACAACAAGGCTGTCGCTGAGAGTCGTGCTCTCGTGTTTTTCGACGGCCTTTCGAAGCTTGTCGAAAGTGGCCAGACTGCCGTCAAGTTGAGCAATATCGCTCGAACTTGAAGCAGTGGAACTTGGTGCAGACATCCACGGCGGACGCAAACTTCTGCTCTTCGCTGCAGAACTTGCCGCTGAAGCCACTCGATGATGCAGTGGGCGCATTGACCAAGGTTTGCAGCCGCGGCGTCGCGGCGCATTGCCTCCGACAGCAACGCGTAGACCAACGCGATGGATCGTTCGACATCCGCGTGTTTGGATTTCAGGAGGTGCTCTAGCTTTGGCCGCGCGAGCTTCGAGCAACTTGGCTGAACGATGTTCGACCAGGTATTCCATGATAGGATCGATGAGCTTGGGCGCCACGTCATCAAGGACTAGTGGCGGGAGTGGTGGCTTCGATGACGGTCGAAAGACTGCGTTGTCGATGTGCCGGCGCCATTTCTTGGTGTAGCACTCGAGGACGCGAAATGCACGCGTCAGGCCCTTGATTGACCACTTGGCTTCGATGCCAGTGCATTGCGTCGCCTGAGTTATCAGGCCTTCTCCTTGGAGGACGATCGTGGTCAACTCAAAGTGCCACTCGTCAAAGTTGTCGAGTCCACGAGCGCATAACCAGTGGGAAGGTACAAAAGCCAGGGGGAACACTGGGTGGTTGCGGGTGAAACGGAAAAAGTGAATTAGCTTAGCTACCAGTGAGAACAACTGGCTCTAAAGGCTAGGCGGACTAGCTAATGGCTAGCCAATCAGGACACGGCATCCTAATGATGTACCGTGGATATGACTGGCTACCTACTATCTAAGGAAAAGCCTCTAAGAGGCACAAATACCTCCTACTAGCTGCAGCCAATGCTGCTACCTGAGGCTTCAGGGCAGTGGTGATGTTCATGACAGAACAGGGTGTTCTGACTGTATCGATATGTATGACAATACGGACACATTATTGTATCACTAGCGATGTAAATGTCATATAGTACTGATTCAATTGGATGGGCGCTTACAAATGTACACTGTGAAGTCCTCCTAGTAGAGTTGTAGTTGTTTTCTAACACTATATGGAAGATGATGACTGATCTGTATTGTAGGCATTGTGGCGGTGATGCGAGCCAACCCCTAAGACGACCCCACCCAAGTCGTGTGTGTCCACGAACTTTTGTATGTGCTACGCCACGACCCGTCGGATTTCACGCTCCACAAACTCATGACCCACGATATTATTCCGTTTCTGTTGAAACTCGTGCGTGAATTTCGTTTCCACGCGGCCCTTCTTGTAAGCCCTACACTATCTCTACTTTTCTGGGCCTTTCCGATGTATATATCTATCTATCTATTTATATAATAACATTTTATTATCTTTTGCAGCTTCACTCGTGTATACGAATGACGCTTGTGAATAACTATGTAGACAGACATCATGCACGTGATGATGCTACTCGCCAAGTTGGCCGTGGAACATGCCGAAGTGTTGGTTCGGGTAAATACAAATATATATATATATATATCAATGAATACTACGTAGTATAATTTTATTCGTTGTAACTTTTATTTTTTAGGAATCCGCTGGGGCGTTGATTGCCAAGACCATGGCGCTGCATCCGACCGAAGACCGGTTGCAGCAATACATGACGCCGTTGCTCCAGACGTTGCGGTACAACGTACACACGACGTCAATAATCTCTCAGCCACGTATTTCTATTAGAGCCACTGCCGTGCCCACAGGCCGAGTTGCTGGCAAACCGGCGGGGTTTGAAATTGCGTTCTTCAACAACGAGTACGCCGCGTCAAATCGGCCGGCCACGACGACGCTGTGGACTCCCGTGACAGGGGAAGGCAGTTGCCACAAGCATCGCGCGAGTCCACTAGAGCCGTTTCAATTGGTATTATTTAACTTGCTCAGCAAGTTGCTAGGCCATTTCCATCTCGTTTGCGGCTGATGCCATCTTGAATATTCACTTGTATGTTGGCAGGTGAGTGCGAAATCGCAGGCGCTGGCCGAGCGCAGTCGGACGCCAGAACTGTCCCATTCGAAACTTCGACGCGTTCTCTCCAGTCCCAAAGTGCCCACGCTGACGGCCCACAACACGACGTTGCTGACCAACGCCTCGTCTGGAACACAGCAACATACGATGGAAAATGAAGAGAATGAACTCGTTGCTGCTACGCCGTTGTTGCTTCGACCGGAGACTTGCCCGACGTTTGATCAGCTCACGTTTGACCTGGCCTCTACCGGCGCGACCCCCAAGCCATGGTCGAGCCTGTCCAGTTTGCGTACGTATATACAATATATATGATATATATATGATGTATGCGTTTATACAACTGTGGCTTTTATACCGACCGTTGTGGTGCTTCATAGTCAATAGCCCCCTTAGATCCATACGGAGTGGTTGAATCCACCAGCCCATTTTACTCTATTTGTTGGTGTCAACATGTTTGGCAATCAGTCGCTCGTGTTTCAAATGAAAGCTATAGTAGTTTTTTTTCAAACATTGGGTTTCGCGCTTCGTTAGTGGTGTACCATGTCTCTGAGCTTGCCACGTCATAACAATCCTGGCGGTATACTAGGTCGCAAGCCAGCGACGTCGGTGAAACGGCTGGTCCCGATGCTGGTGACGACCCCGACATTGGGGGCGTATCGTCGTCCCCGCTGTTTGTCGAGCCTCTGGACACGGCCAAGCGCGTGGATGCCTTGCATGGCCGCATGATGTCGACCAGGGGGCCTTGTAGGCCTAGTATTACTACTAGTAGTACTAGACCCCTCTATCCCAACCCCATCGAGCCAACGACCCCGCCTCAACCGTCTTTGTCCAGCCCCAACAACAACAACCATACGATTGGCGAAACCAAACCCAAAGATTTCATCACCAAAGCCAAAGTCAACCCAGAGTCCCTCCGCGACCACCGAGCTGCCAAGTGCTTGCAGCGGTACTTTCGACGCATTCTCAAAACGTCTGTACACCATCAAGCGGCCGCAGCCC